GATCTAATAAATTGAAAGGCGTTGTCAAATTGGAGGCTTGAAGCCGCCCAAAGGGAGTCGAGCGAAGTTATAAATGCCATAGTAATCGCCACTAGCTGTTAGCGTGACCTGACAATGAGAAACAAAAGCCAAAGTGGTCAATGAAGACCGATGATGCTATTTATTGTTGATGCGGAGGCTATTTTTGAGCCCCTGAAACGCGTAGAGTTCCGTGATCGCCTGAGGCATACTTCAACTATGCCTATTTGGGTCGGAAAGACCCACCGCTCTCTTAATTGGGTTTGTTTGCTTTCTTTGACATCCTCCTCTCCCTCTTGTTCAATTTCCCATCTGGCCTGGTCATCGTCATCTTCATTGATGGTATCTGTCGAGAAATTCTCTTACGAAGGGAGGGAAGTACAGACCTGTAAGTGGCATGCTCTTGGCTGGATCCGGACAATGAAAGGAAATAACTACGCGCTAACGCTAGATAGACTCCGCACGCACCAGCGGTTGATGATCTGCCCATGGATGTTGTTCCCTTCTTGATGGTGTGGACAGTCCGTCACGGAGCCGATGCTCTCGGATCCGATAAGAAGGTTCATCGAGCTCATCTAGATATGGAGTTCAATGCTATACAGCCATCTTGATTGCAGCTCACAGCATCCCGCGATTATGACCATATACATGAATGTTCGATTAATCAACTTGACCCCAAAGCAGTGATCCGGGGTATAGCGACTCCGTTCTTTGTTGCTCCTGGGGCAAAGTGAAAGGAGCCACAGCCAACCACCTGTCGCTGACTACAGATCTAGAGTGTTGAATCGCCGGGGAGCTATCACTTCCTGACGCTGTGATTTGCACTTGGCCCAAACTCTATTCCCTTGTACCCTACCTAGCTCTGCAATGATGATCCCTGCTGTCCTACTCTATGCTGCGCCTCGTAGTAGTCTTGCTCATTGATTGCGTTTCCGATGGTCCCTTTACACGAGATCACTATCGTGCTTGCCCAAGTACCGGGGGTCTTGATTGTACACTACAACTTTGCGCCAACCCCAATGTCGAAAAGAGTCACATGAAGCAGCCCATTTGCGCCATCCCTCCTTCTAATTTCGTTTCGTGGTTTTCTCGCCTAGCTGTATGCTTATAAAGTACGTATTCCGAGCTATCGTTCTGAGACACTGGCTACGTGTTGCGTCCTTCGTCTCCACCAGCCTCTGGCTTTGACACTTTCTGCCTACTGATGAGTCACTTGTCCACTGACATTTCCGGTAATATCCTTATTTCTCTTATCCTTTTTTGAGACTGGTGATTCATTATAGCTTACCTATTATAGCCTACCTAATTGATAAGCAAGTTTCGGACATGGCTGCTAATTTCGAAGCTGCGGATATTCCGGAACTTACCAAACTGGCACGCGACCTGTATCTTACATGCAATTCCATCTCCGGAGATGCCCCTGACGGCTTCAGCCAGCTTGTCGCTAGTCTGGCATCCCTGCATGGTGTGTTTCAAACCCTGAGAGATGATGTCAGCTTCAGGAAGTTCGAGCTTGCAGAGTCAGAAGAGGAATGTAGGCATACCCTGCATCGGTGCCTGAATTCTTGCTCAGGGACCTTACAGCAGCTGAAGGAGGTTGTCGACATGTACCGAAGTTTAGGCTTTGAGAACGGAAGACAGTTATGGCAGTCCATAGATTGGATGACGCAGCAAGCGTTTATTGACGATCTCAAGTCTAAAATTGTGGCTCATACATGCCATCTAGGCGTATGTGTCGGCTCTCTCACCAGGTGAGCTTCCATAACTAGTAAGATATTGACAATGTCTCATTCTTCAGACCTCCTCTAGGAAGGACTGAAAGCTCAGCGACAAAAGGGTCGGCAAAAGATGTACCTCCCCCAACTCCTTCATCTTGGCAGGCACATGACGATGTCTCGCCTATATCAATTTCGGTTTCTACGCCCCGCCAGCAGAACTTCCTTATTCTAGCGGAGCTGGATGGGGCGGAACCCGCCAGGTCAAATTCTGCGGCTACACAACCGTCATGTCCGCCAGAGGAGCCCTCCCATGTTTCGGCTTCCTCCGAATCCGTTCTGTCGGGGAACTCGGATACGTCTAGTTTTACAGCTACCACGTACACTTCACCTACAAGTCCAGCTACGTCGACTTTCAGCCCCCCACAATCAGTTGCTCCAGAGGCCTTTTCGACAGAGAAAGAAGTTGTTTGGTCTCGTGGACCAGGGTCTGGATTCTCAACTATACAACATCAAGGGCAAATTCAACGGTCAACCTCAATCAAGCCAGGCGAGTCAACGCCGTGGGATAGCCCTGGCCATTCAGGAGCTGATGCTATACAAGAACTCCACCGACGACAACTGCGAGACCAACTCTTCCGATCGCTGCGGTGTGAACCACGTGATAAAACCCATCAACCTGATGCGGAACTCCTCGCAAGTTTTGATCATATAGCCCACAAGGAAGAGCGAGCTCAGCAACTCACTGCGAGATGCTGGCTCTTAGTCGCTGTGTGGTGGCTACTGAAGGTATACGCATCAAGCCTTTCCCTTGTGACAGCTGCTTATGTGCGGAAAGGCTAGGACAGCACTTGCAAATAGCGAAAGATCGACACTGGCAAGCACCAAAGGCAGTGTGAGCCCGTCTGCATTGTCATGTAACTCAAGCCACCAGGCATACGTGGACCTCCTGAAAGCATCATACATCCTCTATGACATAGTCTTGAATTGTGACAACCCACAGCTGCTTTTGGAGGATGAAAACAGAAAAATGATCTCAGATCTCTCAGACGTAAGTCCTTCAATGGACAATTTACTTTGCTCAAGCTAAGCAATTCAAAGGGTATCAAAGAAGACTTTGGGCAATTCAGCGCTGTTGATATCCCGGATTACGCTGCGATCCATTCCCAGAACCTCGACTTCTGGGAACCTCTGCAGCCCGAAGAGATGATTGGCAAAGATGGTCAACCAGCTAAGCCAGGAAACTTCTGCTATATCACAGTAGGATTAGAAGATGCTGGTAAAGAGGATGAGCAAGTTCTTTTCCGAACTTTTGTGAATGCAGGCATTGGGACTAAGAAGCTCCGTATGCGATCCAGAGGAGCTCCATACATGCTGCTACTGTCCACAAAGTATGGCGAAAGCGAGCCCAAAATCGCCCTCTGCAACCAGTACGGAACATTCTGTTTACAACGAGACTGTAAGTGTACTTACACGTCTGACTGATGTGGCCAGGAAAGATGAATCTAAAACATTTCACAGTGGCACCAGGCGATCTGGCTCAGTTGATCCAGGTATCAAATGCATCACTCACCAATCTAACCGTGCCAAAGCCGACCGAGCCCGTGACACTGAAATTCGACACCATGACTCTGTCCATTTCATTTCAGTACGTGTCAGATATTATGCAAATGATCAGCATGCCCAAAGCATACTTTGATGCCGTCCAGATACGGGAGCCGCTTGATTCCGACCAGTTCACTGAGACTGTTATATTCAAAAGCTCAGCCGAATCGCTTGAGCAGTTGAGAATGCCCAGCATGGTATCAGCTAGTCCTCCCACAGTGCACAGATCTTGCGAAGTGCGCATCCTGGAAAGGTCTTTTGGCGAGGCGTGGCGCTCTATCCGACGCATCGTAATCAGCTCTTCAACGCCTGACAAATCTGGGCAAACTACCGAATTCTTCATGCCTCTCAGCCATGTCCAAGTCAGCCGTACCACGGCTTCTGGCTTCATCTTGCTCAAATGGTCAGACACTGGTCAGGAGAGGTCGAGCAAGACAGATGGGAACTACCACCCGCTTTTCAGTTACGTCTACGACAGTAGCAATCCAAACATAGGCCTTGGTATTCAATTTCGCTCACAAGAGGCAGTGGATGAACTGGAAAGAGTTGTTCTGGGTTTAGGCACAAGGCCTGCATTTACCTGGTCTCAGGCCAAAAGCTCAGGCCATGTCTATGAGGCCGTTGACATTGCGCCAGTTGAGAGGCGCTATAAGGCGGTTATGATTTGTCGAGCTCGCGCGGAGTGGAAGCAGTGCAGTCTACATTATCTCTTCCGTGATATGGACTATCTGTATGACCATTCCAATCTCCGTGTGAGGTTTCCCCGTGCATTAGCCACCACTTACATATCATCGCATGTTGACCAGTTATATCGGGCTGACCAACGTGTATTTTTCTCTCATTGCGAGAGAGACCTAAGGGATATGACCGTGGAGTTTGATGAAGAGCGCGTACTGATGGCGTTTATGTCCTCGCTTGCATCAACACATAAGCTGGTCTTCTCCAGAAGAGCCACATCCCTCATGACCAAAGAAAAGCTCCTAGTGCTCGGTCCTAGAAAGTCAGTCAAAGGAGACTCTCAAGTGCAGCTATGGCGGGATGGAAATACCATCCGTCTTGCATCGCGATGGAATGACCATATCATGGACCGGTGGCTCACAATGACCATACCGCCATCCGAACCATCTAGAGCAGGAAACCTGGTCAGCCTTCCCCCATGCAGCTACTCAAGGGGGATGGTTCTCAACATGGGAAAGATAGCAGCGGGGGCAGCCAAGAATCAAAGTAGGGAACACAAGACGGGGCCAATTACCATCACCTTTCCCAATCTAAAAGGTATGCCTTATTTTGCTTAGAGGAAAGACGAGGCTGATGTGATATAGATCGGGAAGAGTTTGTTGCGGCCATAACGGGCAACCATCTGAAATAGACAGCAAAGCTTAGTATCAAGAATGGTTTTTGTAGGGTTCAAGGCAGAGTGCCTTTACAATGATCGTGTGGGATCCGTAGTCAAGATTGACTGTTCTAGCAGAATGCAGGAGGATGTACTATGCGGGCCATGTCCCCACCATGAGAATGAGGAAACCATGGATCTTGGAAACCCAATTCGAACACAAGATACCAGGAAATCCAAACAATAAAAACACACACTTTACTTATGAAAACGGGGGAACATCCCAACGGAGGTTCTACATTCACGCAAAATAAATTATACGAAAAGAGTAGTCACGCCCGGGATCGAACCGGGAACCTTCTCGGCACCTCGAAAGGAGAAACTCACTTGATGTGAACGAGAAATCATAACCATTAGACCACGTGACTGGACGATACGAAGACATGCCATTTTTTGGTTTACAGAGTAGATTGTTTTGCTCCATATGTATCTCCGATTGGTGTCTCTGGGAATCATGACTGCCGTTTACCTTCACCAATTTGCCATAGCAGGCCTGGGAGCTTTGTTTCGGTAGACCAGCATTGATGATCGAGAATACTCTTTATTATGGGCCTGTTCTCTGAACTTGTTGCCCTGTACTGGCCACAGACTGATGGCGGCGCTATCAGCTAGAAAGGTAATCCGAATGTTGACTGTTACACACATCCATATCCCGTCCAGACACGAGCCAAAAGGAGATACTACCAGGTACCTATAAGTTTGGATAGATGACAGTAGCCAGATTATAATAATACTAGCGGGGATGTATAGAACGAGCTACTATCACATGACAACAAGCTTGAAAACCCAGGGAGAAACCAGGTCTGTGCTGCAATGCAACAGCAACATGCAACATTTCCATCTCCGCCTCCAAACAATATGCGCTGATCGCTTCTCGTGCCGGAGAAAAAAAGAACAAAGCTATCAGCACGTACAAGCTTGTGATAAGAGCAAAAGACGGTAGATCACCCGTCCATGTCGATGAATAGAATACATCGTTCAAGTCACTTTCATCTTGTACCCCGCTTGATCATGCCGCTCATCTGGGGATCCGCACGAACATCATCTTCTCAGACAGAGTCTGCAGAATCCACCCCAGACAGGTAGCTCTATATTTTTTGACAACCCTCTGCAGAATTTCTAGGTGCATTTATTTCAAAGCTAGTATTGCAATTCTTATTAATAGGAATCCTTCCCGCCGCGTAAACTTCTCGCTGACTATCTTCTGATTTGTCATGGCGAACTATTGCTCATCCTCCGTGACTCAATTCAAGGCGTGTCTATCCGGTTCCTCACTAACGGATGACCAGTGAAGGGTGGCTCAAATCATCTATTCTTCAGCGCCTGCCCCCCAGATCGCCCTCAGTCAGTTAGTCGCCCGGGTGATCTCTCCCCAGTGTTCTTGTCGCCGACGCGTGCGCCTTGCACGTGCGAGCCTCATGACCCATGGGCAAAAGGCTGAGCTCTTATAACGCGAGACTCGTTACCAACTGCTCCGGGGCGTTTTGTTGAGATGTGTCCAGTTTGCCGCACCATGATTAGTGCTTGCCCTGTTGGCAAGTCTTGGGATCTTTTCTGTCGAGGAGGAACTGACTGAGATACTGGGTATTTTGTTGTTGCCTGGTTGTTCCTTTTTCTTTTGCATAGGTATCTACCCGTTCGAGTCATTTCATTCCATCGTATTTATAGTCGGTTCTTATCCGTTGCTACGGTTCCTAACTAATTGATAATCTTTTTTAGTACTTATAGTTGCTATTACTTTGTTGATATGCCACACTTGGTCCACCATCGACGACGCCACTCTTGGCCATACTGCGGCCCCGGAACGCAGCTCCGTGAACGACGAAACTTGCCGCTAGTCATCGCTGAGCAGCAACGCCAGTTCGAACAGCAGTTCTTGACGCCCGTGGGATCGGAGGATTTGCTCGAGGATGATGCCGCATCAGCGGGTATCGTTCGTTCCAGGACTGCCCGGTCCCATCGACGTTGGTACGCTCCGTGGGAATCAGCTTCTCCTGGAGCACCTGGACAAGTTACCACAGACCATCATGCCGGATCTGGATCGGGGTCCTTCCGGAAAATGATCCGTCCACCTCTGGATAAGGCACGTTCACTCTTCGTGCTACCGACCACCACTACTACCGGGGAAAGTGTGCTGGTTTCATACTGGATGCCTCAGGGAGTTCCTGTTCTACCACCTTCAGCTCCGGTCGCTAAACGAGGAAGAGTTGCTGATGTTAAAGCTGGAGCTGGATATTTGTCTGTTGAGCGATATCATCGACGATGCCATTCAGAGCAGCCTCGGTCTTGGAAAAGGCCCAGCGCTGAGTTGTGGCCGTTGGAGGAGGAGCAATAGCTTGTGTGCACAGTCTATTGGTTTGTGCTGTTTTCTTGGTTATATCGCTGTGCTTGTTTTTCACAGGTTTGTACGCATTGCATCGCGAGGGTTGATTTCATGGCGTTGAGTGGGCATTCTGCATGCGATGAGCTTTGATGGCGGCTGCTTGACTGATTCAATAATAGCAAGACCAAGATGTCATGTTAAGGCTAGAAATTGAAGAAAATGACAGTCTTAGGAGCAAGACTCGTCGCAGCAATATTCTTTCCTGTATAATTTTCAGTAGGAATCCCCTCTCCTTGTGCACGGAAGCGCGTGCCGGCCAGCCTCTTGGCACGGGGCACGTGAAGTACCATGATGTCATTGGTCAAATTCAAGAGCCTCAAGTGGGTCACTAGCCGGCGTCCCAATTGGGAAGGCCGTCTGAGACTCCAGCTGGCACCTCAGGCTGTCTGTCAACACCATCCGCAGCGCATCGCCTACCCTTTAATTCCCTCATTTCATTCCATCGAGGGATTTTCATATATCCCGCAGTTGGACCGTGACAATTTCAGCAGGGATCATGTTTCAGATAGGAGTTATTTTCACGCGGTTGCTATTAAAAGCAACCCGTGAGTGAGTTCTCTCTGGTTCATGGTAGCCTGGAGAGGGGAAGGAGAGCCCGAGAGACCAGGGTGGAGATCAGCACTAAACTAATACCTGGAACGAACAAGTCAACAACACCTCCTGTGAGCCGTAAGCCCTATATTCCGTCCCTAGTCCGGATTCGAACATCATTTCCTATCCTGCCCGCTAAGTCCGAGCGATCATTCCTGTCTGCAAGGTGGGGGCTAATTTCTCACCCATTCTGTTCAGTGTTGCTTCGCGGGAAGAATTCTGGAAGTTGGTCTGGAATGCCATAGAGCTGACAGCTCGACTCATGGTCGGACAAAAACAACGATAATGAGCATTCCAACGACCTATCACCAAAGAACACACAATCAATTTCCGACGGGCGCGCCCGAACAGCGACAGAAACAAGGCAGCCTTGTGGACGCTGCTGCAGTGGATTTAGCGGTGAAAATGGAGCCTCCCGATGGGTCATTCCCCAGTGACAGGCGTGCTGATTGGCGGGCTCGTAAGGCCATAGGGCAGACGCGTGGAGATGACTGGAGAATAATGGAGATCCTCACCGACTGGCCCATCATTCAGCTGCCGTCCGTGACTCAAGAAGGGGCCATTTGAGCCCTATCGATGGAGCCCCTCCGTGCTGGCATTCTTTCATTCGTTCACTCGGGCTTCCCGGCAGGGGGCCCCATGCCCCGGATAGGGCCAGTGCTGTTTTGATAGGCTGATGGGTGGGCTTCCAGACGTGCTCGGAATGAGCACGGAAGTAGGGGACGATGGAACATAAATACGCTCATTTCCGCTGCCTTTTCCCCCGAATGCTATATCCTCATTTTACACTTTTATCACTCTACGCTCCTCTCCCATAATTCCCTTTGGAGAATTACTAGTTGTTAATGGAAATGAACGACGACCACCAGACTTCCACTCAGCCAAACACCCTCAAGCGGGCTCTTTCTCAATCCACTACTTCCACCACCTCATCAACAACCACCAACTCCCACGCTACAAAGGCTAGGCATCACAAAGCAAGCCGCCTGTCTAGTGTGAAACAATTTCTCCGGTCGCGTTCTCACTCTCCGACCGCGGCTTCTATCCCTTCGAACCGCTCCTCCCCATCATCCAGCTTCGAAATACCTCGAAGCATTCCTGCAAACTCTACTCCTCGTCACTCTGCGAGCCCCGTCTCCACCATGTCTCCTAGCAGAGTCTCTACCGATGATGACAACCACAGCGCGAGCTACAAGCGTGTATCCTCCACCCACACCCGCAGAAGCGGCCACGACTACCGTCGTTACAGTGGCACAGTGAACCACTACGGCCGTCACTCGAATGACTGGCTCTTTGGTGGCTTCAGTCTGCGGGATACTGTTCGAGATGGAGTGGATCGCCTGAGACACCATCATGCCAAGGGTTGAACCACCAATATTTTGCGCGCTTGTATCTAATGGACTGTTGTCCATTTTTGGGTATTTTTGCGTTTCATATTCCGACACACTTCTCCATGGTCGCATCAGTGGCCCTCCACCATTCAGACTCCAGGCCTTCTGAAATCGCTTCACTACTTATACTGAGGATGAACCTGGGGCCATTCTGGCAACATATTGCCCTCCAACCTTTCCGGGGGTTTAAGCACGAGGAGGAAGGCCCTACAGACCGAGTCACACGACTCACTCATGCGCCATGCTTGGATGAACTCGTTTCATACGAAATCCTACCTTTTCAGCACGAGAGCGCCACGCGCGTCTCTTCTCTTTTGAACGATCCGACCGGATCTACTTTTATGACATGCTACGAACATATACCCGCCATGCTATTTGTTTGGTTTCAATTATTTTGCTTCTACAGTGTTCAATCAATCTCACGAATCATGCTTCTATCTTCAACTCTCTGTCTCGTAATCAAAGTAGCAGTCGATTGTAATCGCAGTTTACAGTAGCATATTCAATAATAGTTATCCTATTTACACCACCATCTACATCTCACCACCTCTCTATCCCCAACAACACTATCTACATACCATCCTTCCCACCCTTCTTCCTTCTAATCCAAACAGTATCCTCGCCCTCCTCACCCTTCCCACCCTCAACCCCCTTCAAAGACCCCCCAGAGGCAACATCATACCTTACCAACAACAACCCAAGAAACAACTTAATCTGAATAGCCGTAAACCATCGCCCCGGGCAGGCATTCCGCCCATACCCAAAATGCAGCGACGTCTCATTCACAGACACATAGTGGTATTTACCAGTAGTACTAGCTGACAACCCACCCTGATTATTCCTCAGCCGATGAAACCTCAACCCATCAAACACCTCCGGGTTCTCAATATACTCTGGATCCCAACCGACATGGAACGCCGGCGCCGCGATATGCTCGCCTGCATGGAGTCGCGTGCCGTCTAGGAGAGAAAATGGTTCTATGACTTTTCTTTCGAAGGTGACT